TCCAGCTTAAGGACAAGATTCCGTAGGGAAAGCGCCAGACGATAATGCAGATGGAGTGCTGCGTTGTAAGGGCTGCCCCAGTGTTCAATATGCCTAGGCCCGCCAGCAGATTATGAGCGAGGTACATAACGCCCGCTACTCTCTTCACCCCGGCGCCGGCTAAAAATGTACCATGATACCAAAGAGAACTACCGGTGGCCAGTATGAAAAGAGAAATTGCCGAATTTGTAGCCCAAAGGTCCTAACCGGCCAACAGTGAAAGCGTAACACTAAATCAAAGGGTTAACTCAGGACATAGCTGTGCCTCTGAAATGGGAAGCAGTGAATATGGATTTTGTGGCAGGATTACCCCGTACTCAGACAGACATGATCTATACAAGTGATATTGACGTCGACAAAGCCATTTCCTACCAGGGAGAACTACTTTCTCGGCCGAAGATTATGCTGAGTTGTATATCAGAGAATTAGTCAGGATTGCAATAGAGTGCCAATATCCATTATTTCCTAAACAGAGGAGCATGGGAAGTTTATGGCTAGATTTTTGCAGTCTTTTCAGAGAGGTCTCGGGAACAGAGATTAATTTTGAGCACAAAGATTCCACCTCGACAGACGGACAGCCGAACGCACCCATTCAGACGCTCTAGGACATGCTATAGCGTGTGTGTTAGATTTTGGTGGTAGCTGGGATGAACATTTACCTCTAATCAAGTTTGCTTATAATAATAGATATCATTCAGCTATCCAAATGGAGCCTTTCGAGGCATTATACGGGTGAAATGCGTATCGCCGATTGGCTAGTTTGAAGTAGGAGAATCAGCGTTGAATGGGCCAGACATTATTCAGCGCCGGAGGAGAAGGTAAAGCTTATCAGAGAATGCTACTGACTGCACAGAGTCGCCGAAAGTTGTATGCAGATGTACAGCGTAGAAACCTGGAAGTTGATGTGAACGACTGGGTATTTCTGAAAGTGTCTCCGATGAAATGGGTGATGAGATTTGGCAAGAAAGGTAAGCTCAGTCCAAGATTTGTTGGGCCTTATCAGATTCGTCGAAGAATAGGTCGAGTGGCATATGAGTTGAACTTGCCTCCAGAGTTGTGAATCCGCTCATCCGGTCTTTCATGTATCCATGCTGAGGAAATGCATAGGAGACCCGTCCAGAGCAGTCCCAAATTGTGATATCCGGTTACGTAAGAACCGCCTACGAAGAGGTTCCAGTAGCTATCCTAGAAGACAGATCCGTAGACTGAGGAACCAGATATTGCGCCTGTCAAAGTACCGTGGGCGTAACAGGAACCGAGAGGAGATGACGTGAGGCGGAGGAAGATATAAAAATTAGATATCCTCATTTATTTCAAGCCTAGTCATGACAGGTATGTTGGGGTATTGTTACTGATGCAGTGCCTTATAGTTCATATATGTAAGCGAAATGATTGATCTCACTGTCGTGAATACTATAGTTCTTGTGTGGAGTAATTTGCATTGGACATTTCTATGTTTCAGGTTTTTGTGATAGTCCATATTATAGGGAAACTCGCTGAAATTTTCCTAGAAACAAGTTGAGTTAGTTGGAGAAGTCCTCTAGATAGAAGATTATATTCGATATTAATGTTCTTAAGGGGGAGAATGTTATACCTCGTAAATTCTCAACAGGTAAGTGGCCTACTCGCATGTTTGTTAAGCATATTTGAAAGCCATACATGCTAGAAAAAGGCCCGAAAAAAGATCGGACGGGAAACTCCGTCGAACCATCGCAGAAGGAGCCGGGGCAGAGCCCTCCGCGATGGCAGCGTGTCATGGAGGCGGGGCCTCCGCGTTGGCTCTCAGGACACGCTACCTATCCAGCCCAAGTATATAAAGCCCCACTTCGGTTTTAATCGATTAAATCACTTAGAAATTTCAAGAGAATCGCGAGGAACAGAGGAAGCACGCAAAAGTAATAGAAATATCGTTCGATTACACCATCAAACGTAGTCCAAATCCAAATTAACCTCGAACCGAGGTATTTAGCAGCAGGAGAATTCTACGGATTTAGTTTTGCCAAATTCGGCCGACAAACCGTCGAGCCACCGAGCTAAGGTAAGTGGAATTGCTCCAAATTAGTGTCAATGTGCTCCTAGCCTTAAGTGTGAATACTTCTCCCTCTGGACTTCCGAAAAATAGCAAGTTTTGACCGTTCGATAAGCCTAAGTTTAGGGCTATAAATATATCGGAAGTGACGTTGTCTTTTAGAATAGTGATGTATTTAGTACTAATTGACGTGTGTGTGAATGCAGTTGGGAGAAATAGCTGGAGTACTGATCGAGCATCGTCCGATAGTCGAATAACTCGAGGTTAAGGTATGTAAAGCCAGTTTTTTCGGCAACTTAGTAGCTTTAGCCTTGTATATCATGCAAACTCCGTAAATGTATTCCCCGGAGTTGAATGTTGGTACAGTGCTAAGTAAATCAGGTTTGCGTTGTTATATCCTACTCAGTCCGAGATAGTAAAGTATGCGCCAAATGGCGAGTTAGCATTCCAGACTCAAGATAGCCGCATGTGATTAGCAAGCATGTTTTTTAGAATAATGTGGCATATAATCATAATACAAGTTAGTAAAGTAAAAATCAGATAGACAGATAGTATCCTGGCTACAGATTAGCCATTCAGACAGATGATATCTTGGCTACAGATTAGCCATTCAGACAGATAGTATCCGTGGCTACATATTAGCCAAATCATAGATAAAGATTTCAGAATCAAGATAAAACAACATAAGAATCGTATAAACATTTAAAGAGACAGAATAAGAAATCAGATTTCTATAGCACTTTTCATTTAAACACAGTTTTCTGCTATTTATGCTTATTGTTTGTTGAGACTGGTTATGTCGTGAGGGCCCCTTTGAGCGTCCTCGCGCCCCCTGGGTTGGTAACTCACCCACTTCAGCGGGTGGGTTTACGCCACTCCAAGGAGGTCATGCCGTCCCCATTGAATGAAGATGGGATGAAGCTTTCCCATATCAGGCAGATCAGCATTATTATACATATAGCTCTGTTGTGTGCAAGCGCCCAGGGAACAGATTCAGACAGTTTCAGATATGGATATATGAAGTCCTCCTGGACTCGACACGGTTATTTATATTGGTGTTATGGTCTTGCGAGACCTAGGGGGCTGGTAGAGGTGCTCCTTGTTAGCAGATGACTGGAGTGACTTATTTTTGGCTGGTTTTGACCCGGGTAGGGGTATATAGATTGTTTGTTTGCTTATGCCATATGGCTTATGGGGGTTGGTATTGGCTCTTGCTTAAATGTATATGTATTTATGTGCTATATACTTGTTATCAGCTGGTGCCACCGCGTCTGCAGGTACGCTCCTGCCCTATCACAGCACAGCAAGCTTGACCAGTTTATATATCAGTTTTTCAGATTCAGCTATCTCCTGCTATTCAGCATTTACTAGTTATGTGTTTATTATTCAGCTTGTATTATTCAACAGCTTTGCATACTCAAGCATTCGGGCCGCATCGACGCCCATTGGGGCGCTGCATTACTTTCCCAAGTGTGCACTACAGACGAGGAGGCGATCCTCGTGATTCTAGCCAGCTATAGAGTCATCAGCCCTGTCATCCGGAGCCTGATATCCAGAGGTGTAGCTCTTTTTTCTTTTATTATACAATATGGGTAGGTCGGGCCCGTCCATCATTTCTAATCACTCATAGAGGCTTGCAGATTGTATGTATTTATCTCCCTGTGGTCAGTTAAGCTGGTCGTGTGAGGCCGTGCATTGTGTTCAGTTGTTTAGCCTTATTAATCATGTTGGCCGTGTGGGGCCATAGTCTAAGAGCAGTGGTGACCTTGTCGGTCACGTAGTTATTCAGCATTCTCTCGTGTTGGAGTTTCGATGACTAGACATCATGGTGGCCTTGTCGGCCCGCATAGGTTCCCTTGTTATGAGTATGTTTCTTGTTAACTGTTATTACATATGCAGGTGGCTATAGGCCCAGTTTGGCCGGAGGCCGTATTTACAAACTTCAAGTATATAGCCCGCTGTTTCCAGAAATCTGAGATAGAGCTAGCCAGGCACCAGATGTGCTTAGGCTCACCAGCTTAGCAGTCAGGTCCTACTAGGGCACCACAGGGTGCCAGTCATACCTCCCAAGACGGCGTGACGACAAAAATCCTTTATTTTATATAATAGATAGCTTAGAGGTTGGAGAGGGGTTCCAGTCTTGTCTAACATTTCGAAGATATGCTTAGAGATTACACTGCAGCTTTATTTAATATCGAGACAATTGTTGAGCAGTTTCCTATTTTTGCATTACTCGCGAAGTTTCATCATTAGCCAGGCATTAAATTGCACTTTGTCTATGAATTCTTTAATTTGTTTATTACCACGATAGGCCAAAACTTCCACAATTAGTTGTGGGAACCACTTACAATTAACACACATATAAAATACTTAGTGACTCTTTAACGGAGTCATATGCATAGCCTTTTCCTTCATTTGATTATTTAACAGTTGCAAACGTTAGCCCTTGCTCTTATTCTTACTTACTATATCAAGGGGGTAGGTGATATCGGATTAGCAATGAGACGGAGGTTATCAGCCCTCATCTAATAGTTTGAACTCATCTAGAATATTAATCCGATATCAAGGGTAGCGGTTAGTCAAGAGCGCCTGTAGCACTGTTGCATGGTGATAACCAGCTCCAAATAGGGACCAACCATTTAGTTAACTACTGATATTGCATAAGCAGCACAAAATAGATCACTAGTACAACTTCCTGTGGCCATGAAGCTCATGGGATCACTTCACTTAGTTAGTTGCATTAATTTAGAATTAACCTTCATTTCTCTCAACTCACTGTTTGTTATTATATTCTCTCTTTCTTAGAGATAATCGGATATAAATCGTTACATGTTTATATCCTTCCATATTCGATTGCAACCTTGTTGTTCTATATTTGACATCAACCGTTATATCCATTATTGTGTAATTTGAGCCATATCAAATTTTGGGCGCTGTTGTAGTATAGTGGTAAGTATTCTTGCCTGTCACGCGGTGACCCGGGTTCGGATCCCCAGCAATGGCGCCAAAATTTGATGTCGCTCAAATTACAACTCGTAATCAGATATAATGCGGTCGATGTCAAATAGAAACCCAACAAAGGTTAAATTCATCCCATACGGAATATGGAAGGATATAGAAGAACTAGTATATGCTTTTAAGTCGATTATCTCCTAAGAGGGGAAATTTATAAAAGTAACAAATAATGTCAAAGGAAGAAATGAAGGTTAATTCCAAATTAATACAACTACCTAGGTGGCAGTCTCCTACAATTTCATAACCACAAGGTGTTTTATACTAAAGTGGATCTATTTCTGGTGCTGACATGCAATATCGTATGTTAACTTCACCTAAATGGTTGGTCCCCTATTTAGATGATTATCACCACACAACTTGGTCCATCTACGGGTGTATACTTGACTAACCCTTACCTTGATATCGGATTAGGCTATTCCCAAACAAGTTCAAGCTATTAGATGAGGGTTGATAGCCTCAAATCTCCGTTTAAGTTAATCCTTTTCCGCTCACTACCCCCATCCGGTAAGTAAGACAAGGCAAGTTCCAATATTTGCAACCATTAATAAACAATTAAAACGAAGGAAAAATAATACATGCATAAACCCGTTTAAGAATCACTAAGTATTTTACTCATGGTGTTAATTTGTCATGGTTCTACAATTACAATTGTGGAAGTTTAGCCTATCGTGGTCATATGTAAATTAATAGAATACACGCACAATTTAATACTTACAACAATGATCGGAAGAAACTTCACTTGAATAATGCAAAAATAAGAAGAAACAATTCAACAATTGTCTCGAAATATGAAATAAAGTCTTAATATCCATCTCTAAACTTATGTCTTCAAAATGTGTTAAGACTTAAGACTCAAGACCTCTTCCAACTTCTTAAAACTTAGCTATTATATAAAAATAAAAGGATATTTTGAGTAGTAGATTTATTCTTTTCTTGTTCCTTTGCGGGTTTGATTTGGAGCCCTTTTCATAGTTTAGAAGTAATTTATTTTTTTGGATGTTTGAACCTCTTTTCGCATTGGAGGGCTGCATCAGCATGTGGAAGGGTGCCTCGCGCCTACTGTATCATTGGAAAGGTTGTTCCTTGCGCATGTCATTGTGAAGCTTCTGCGCCACATCACGCACACTGTCGTGTAGGGAGACAGGCGCTCAGCATGGAACGCAACACAGGCCGGGTTGCGCATCTAGTACCGCAGTACAGCGTCTGCTGCATCTTAGTCAACATGTGTAGCAAATATTCCTCGTTCTTTGCATTATTCATTCCAACTTCCTCATCTTCATTCCATAAGCCTCAAATTCATTCAAATCTATCATTTTTAGCCCTGAAAGCATCTAATTACATGCTAGCTCTTTCACCAATATATAACAAAATACATGCAAACGCATAAATTTGTTCTCAAAACATAGTAAATTATGGGAATAATATGTCTAAGTGAAGTGCGTAAGAACGGCCTTCATCAACACCCCACACTTAAACTATTGTTCATCCTCGAACAATATACTACTTCCCTTCTCTCATTTAAGCACAACATTCATCCTAATGAATAGGTCTATTTACACTTAGGATCATGAGAAAATCAACGAAGCTCAAACAATTCACTCATGCATATAGGATCAACATTAAAATGTCAAAGTTCGGGAATCACTTAGCTTTGGACCCGGAAACAGTGCCAAAATTTGATTTCGCTTAAATTACACCTCGTAATGAGATATAACACGGTCGATGTCAAATATAGAACCCAACAAAGTTTGAGATCGATCCTATGTGGAATATGGAAGGATATAGAAGAACGCTAGTATTTAAGCTTTTAAGTCAATTTTCCTCCTAAGAGGGGAAATTTATAAAAGTAACAAATAATTTCGTTGAGAGAAAGTGAAGGTCCATTCCAAATTAATGCAACTAACTAGGGTAAGTGTTCCCCATGATTTCATAACCACAAGGCATTTTATACTAGTGATCTATTCCGGTGCTTAACATGCAATATCAGTAAGTTAACTTCACCTAAATGGTTGGTCTTCTATTTAGATGATTATCACCACACAACTTGGTTCGTCTACGGGTGTATGCTTGACTAACCCTTACCCTTGATATCGGATTAGCTATTCCCGAACAAGTTCAAGCAATTAAATGAGGGTTGATAGCCTTAAATCTCCGTTGTTAATCCCTTTTTCCATTTACTACCCCCTTGATTCGGTAAGTAAGAATAAGGAAAGTTCCAACGTTTGCAACCATTAAGAGATAATTAAAACGAATGAAAAAACAATACATGCATAACTTCGTTTAAGAATCACTAAGTATTTTACCTATGTGTGTTAATTTGTCATGGTTCCCACAACCCTAGTTGTGGAAGTTTTAGCCTATTGTGGTCATAAGTAAATCAATAGCATTCATAGACAAAAGAACAATTTAATACTTACAACAATGATCGGAAGAAACTTCACTTGAATAATGCAAAAAATAAGGAAGAACAATTCAACAATTGTCTCAAAATATGAAATAAAGCCTTACAATCGTATCTCTAAACTTATGTCTTCAAAACGTATTAAGACTTAAGACTTAAGACCATTTCCAACTTCTCTAAAACTTAGGTATTACATAAAAATAAAAGGATATTTATAGTGGTAGATTTATGCTTTTCTTGTTCCTTTGGGGGTTTGATTTGTGATTGGAAGTTCCTTTTCATAGTTGAAGTGGAATTTGCTTATTGTTGGCCATTTGAAACTCTTGCCGTGTCACAGGCTGCATCGCACAGGTGGAAGGGTGCCTTGCACCTGTTGTAGCGCTGGAAAGGCCGCGCCTCGCGCATGTCATCGAACAACTTCTGCGCCGCATTGTACACACTGTCATGCAAGGAGATCGACTCCTCATGCATGGAATCGAGTAGCACAAGGGCCGTGTCGCGCATCTGGTAGAGCAGCAAGGCCAGTGCCTCGCGCATCTGATCGCGCAGTAGTGCTGTGTAGTGTGATATGCCTTGCTCTTTGCATTATTCATTCCAACTTCCTCATCTTCATTCCATAAGCCTCAAATACATTCAAATCCATCATTTTTCGCCCTAAAAGAATCTAATCACATACGTTAGCTTTTTTCACCAATATATAACATAAATACATGCAAACACACATAAATTTATTCTCAAAACATAGTAAGTATGGGAAAAATATATCTATGAAGTGAGTAAGTACGCCCTTCATCAATAACCTACCCATAAAGATGGTTCCATAGGAATATCAGTAATTTACATATTCGGATTCTATTTTCCAAGTGTAACATATCGATTAATTAAGAAACACATTAATTAGTCACTTAGATTAAGATAGAGGGATCGGGAAACCTTATCATGGCCCCAAGTACCTTAAAACATGCATATAAGAGGGTAGGTAACTATTAAGGAAATTCCATTTCGTTACCTCGTTAGCCCTTATTGAGTTAAAATTGATTCCAGATGTTAGGTTCATCCGCGCGTCGTCGTCTTTCCATGTTTACCAATTTCCTTAGAAACCATAATGTGAAACAAATTTAACACCACAAATACATAACATAATGTAAAGGATCATCTCACAGTGCCCACGCCGAGGGAATTTCAGACTCAATTTACAACTATGACAATAATCGAAGGCAATTGCCTTCTTCACTTTATATTCATATGTTCCAACTCTTTAAAAAATACACAAATTAATACCAAGTAATTCTAAAAACTGGGAAGAACCATAATATGATACTATAGAAGCTCAAGTACAGGGGAATGCCGGATTCATCCTCGGCATGAATTCGTGCTTGAAAATCAAGAGACAAAGAGTACCTTATATACCTTTTTTTGGCGAGCTTTCTTATGTCATTTATTTCTTTCGAAAATCAAAACTTATCCCCTTAAATTAATTTAGTTTATCACCAAGTGACAAGGATGTTTCAATCCAATTTATCGAGCCAAAACGTTATATCAATAGGCAGTCACAACACAAACAAATAAGGCAACACTTAGTATTTCTTATTTAAACTTGTTTCTACAACTTTGATGCAAAATAGAGGTAGGAAATTACCTTACTTTTATCATGAAAAACTCCCACAAATATAGAGTATATTCTCAAGAAAACACAGCTGTTCCAACCTTAAAAAATTAGCAGAACTTGAACAACAACATACCAAGAACGACATCCCAACATAAGCTCCAACTTCTAGCTTTAGCTAGGATTTTTAGGCAAGTTTTGCAATTAGAAACATTTACCCTTTGTATGAGAATATACTTAGATATAATAGGAGTATTTTCCTCCAAATCACTTTCCAATAATGCAGCAATCTTGTTTCCAAAAGCGCAGCAGTATAACAATGCAACAACTACAACAAGTCAACATACAAACCATAATTTCTTCTAGTTTTACTTAAAAAAATCCATAGACTTATTAGATATTTCAAAAGAGGTAAGTTAATTAATATTTCTTATGAAAAATTCCTATTAATATGGATTATAACTTTAGCTCAAACTAGTCTCAAACACGCAGAAACAACACTGCCAAAACGAAGCTACAAGGCAGCAACAACTTCACCACAACGTTTCCTTCACTTACATCAACTTTTTATTGAGTTTTTATGGTGTTTTCTTAAGGGATTTACTCTTGGTTACTTAGTATTTTCTACTGTAAAAGCGAGAGGATTTCAGAGGGCAAGCAAGCACCTCAAATCTGGAAAAGTTGAAAATGATCTCATAACACAAAACTTAAAATATAAAGGTGTTTGGGTGGTGGTCGTTTTTAGGGCGGTGGCCATTTTTAGGTAGGTGGCCATGTCACTGCCCGATAGTGCTACTGTAAAATTCCTATAGCGTTTTACACTAAATTTCAATTGATGAGCCATTTTATGTTCTAAAAACTAGACTCAAAGACCGTTAATTTGATAGGTCATGGGGCTTCTAGTTCATTATATGTTGGGAGATATGGTCGTTTAAATTTGACCCTAACTTATAAACTTCACATACTCTTTGCTTTTCCATTC